TAAAAAGAAATGACGGTTTTATTTTTAATGTCAGTGCGACGGAATGGGAGAAGATATTTGCAAATGACAGTACAGACAAAAGGCTGATATCCAGGATCTATAAAGAACTCCTCAAACTCAACACACACAAAACAGATAATCATGTCAAAAAATGGGCAGAAGACATGAACAGACACTTCCCCAATGAAGACATACAAATGGCTAACAGACACATGGAAAAATGTTCATCATCACTAGCCATCAGGGAGATTCAAATTAAAACCACATAGAGATATCACCTTACACCAGTTAGAATGGCCAAAATTAGCAAAACAGGAAACAACATGTGTTGGAGGGGATGTGGAGAAAGGGGAACCCTCTTACACTGTTGGTGGGAATGCAAGTTGGTGCAGCCACTTTGGAAAACAGTGTGGAGATTCCTCAAGAAATTAAAAATAGAGCTTCCCTATGACCCTGCCATTGCACTACTGTGTAGTTACCCCAAAGATACAGATGGAGTGAAAAGAAGGGCCATCTGTACCCCAATGTTTATAGCAGCAATGGCCACGGTCGCCAAACTGTGGAAAGAACCAAGATGCTCTTCAGCGGATGAATGGATAAGGAAGATGTGGTCCATATACACTATGGAGTATTATGCCTCCATCAGAAAGGATGAATACCCAACTTTTGTAGCAACATGGACGGGACTGGAAGAGATGATGCTGAGTGAAATAAGTCAAGCAGAGAGAGTCAATTATCATATGGTTTCACTTATTTGTGGAGCATAACAAATAGCATGGAGGACAAGGGGAGATGGAGAGGAGAAGGGAGTTGAGGGAAATTGGAAGGGGAGGTGAACCATGAGAGACTATGGACTCTGAGAAACAATCTGGGCATTTTGAAGGGGCGGGGGTGGGGGGTTGGGGGAACCAGGTGGTGGGTATTGGAGAGGGCACAGTTGCATGGAGCACTGGGTGCAGTGCAAAAATGAATACTGTTACGCTGAAAAGAAATAAAAAAATAAAATAAAATAATGTTCAGGAGACCCCCTCCACTCTGCACATGGCTACAAGAGGTTGCCCTAGCGGAAATGACTGATCAATCTGTACTCCAGTCACTATGGGCACTAGAGTCTGTCCTAAAAAATGCCCACACGGGGATCTGAGCTGCCTACACGGAGATGGAGACGCAGATTGAACCACATCCTCACCAGCCCGGAAACTTGGTTTGGATATGCTGCCACCGAATCAAAACTTGAAGCCTCGCTGAAAGGGACCATTTGCTGTCATCGTGACCACCCCCATGGCAGTAAAAGTAAAAGACATCAGGACCTGGATTCACACGTGTCACACCAAACGAGCCGAAAGCAAAAACACCCCCCAGAAATAGAAGCCACTGCCGGTGGACACCACCAACTGTGGACTAAAACTGAGACTCAAAAGGGTTTCATACCTTGGTCATCTTTAACCCTGTTCCGACTCAGCAAAAGCCAGGAAACACCTCCTGGGCACTATCTTCCTTACGGCCCCCACCGGAGCCTGGCTTGCTTGCAGTTCAGAAAGAGCCAAAGAATTGACTCATCTCCAAAGGAAAGGGGGGAATGTTGGGGCCGATTCCATGTTAAAACCTGCTAACCCCTAGGACGTGCGTGGTACCAAGACCCTCCCGGGGAGTGAGAGCTGCGGGGGAAGGGCTCAGTACAGACAGAAGCCCGCTGGCCCGCACGGATGACCCGGGACCCACTGTGGACGGAACGCTGGCGCCCAGGGTTCCGCCGCTGCCGGGCGCGCACTCTGCTCGGAGTCCGCAGGCAGCTGGAGACGCTCGCGCTCTCTGTTCCCGGCTCTGCCACACCTTCACGACTCTCTCCCCCCACGAGCCCCGTGGAGACCGCAGGCGTGGCTCCCGCAGCGACAGGTCACCGGTGAGTGTGAGCTGCTGCCTTCGGGCCGCCGTGGGGCCTGCGGGCTCAGGGGGAGCGGCGCCGGCCTCCAGGGCTGTGGCCGAGACCTCCGGACCCCAAGCGCAGAATTGAGCTGGCGCGGGCAGCCTTTCCACGGCCCCGTGGAGGGCGGGCTGCCCCCGCTGCCGCCCGGGTCCCAGCCTCCTGGGCAGGGAGCCCGCACGCCCCTCCCCTCCAGGGAGCACCACGTCCCTCCTGCTCTCCCCTCCGCCCCTCCTCCGGCAATTCCCAAACCCCAGGCTCCCGGCTGGCGAGCCCATTCAGACTCTTGCTGGCATGTGTTCAGGTGGGGGACATCCCGCTCACGGGCTTTTCCCTGTTGTCGCGTGAGCTTGTCACATCTCAGAGTCACCTTCGATCCCCCCCCAAGGCCGCAGGGACGCTCGCTGGCCGGCCATTCCATCCAGCCCCACGCTGCCGGCCCCAGGCTCGGGGACGCCACCCCAAGCATCAGGTCAGCAATTCCCGGAGACACCCGGACCCCCGTGTGCTCCTGGGTACGGGGTGAAGGGACCGTGCTCTCAGTGTGACCACGTGCTGGGGACGGTGGCTGGGAAGGGAGTCTGGAGGTGGGAGGGCCCCGGGGAGGCAATGCCCGCGTGGGATCTGTCGACCCAGCAGGGCCCTTGGAGCCCCAGGGTTCTCTCCACTCTGGGCTCCGACAGACTGGGGATCTGCCCGCTGGGAGCACACGCCTTGGTTCCCTGGAGGCTCTCATGCAGGGTCCCCTCGGGATGTTTTCCGTTGGCAGCACCATGAACCAGGACCTGGAGACCCTGATGGCCTTGGAAGGGGCCCACATCCTAGCCAGTTACACCCAGGTGAGGCACAGAGGGGGCCCATCGACTCAACGGACCCTCATTACAGGGCTGGGGTGCAGAGCCAAGGATGGGCCCGTTCAGCCCAGACAAGGACCAGAGTCCTCGGGAACAAGTGTGACACGGGGGAGGGTCCCCGACATGGGAAGCAGCTGAGGGTCCATCGGGGATCTAGGTGTCCATCGTCGATAAGTACCAGGCAGGGATCATAGGCGGCAGGAGCTCCAGAGGCCCAAGGTGGGAACCCAGACCGCGGGAGCTCAGGAGATCCAGGTGGGGTCCTAGGCATGTAGGAGCAGGTCTGGCCCAAAGGGAGACTTCAGCAGCGAGAGCACGAATGCCCCAGGCAGGGATCAGAGCCGCAGTCCCGCAGAGGAGACCAAGGGGGGGCATGGCTGATAGACACAGGCGCCACTGTCATCCTGCTCCCAGAGCCGACAGGGCCTGCCTCTCGTGCTGTCCCATTTCCGAGGGTCCTGGGCTCCCTGAGGATGCAGGGGAGAGAGGAGCCCTTCTGCTCCCTCCTTTCCCCCTGCCCCTGGCTCGGACGGGACCCCACCACGGACCCTCTCTGTTTCAGGCACGCCCAGCGGGGTCTCCAGGGGCCGCCCGGGAAGAGGCTGACCTCTCGCTGTGCAGGCTCACGGACCATCACGGCTTCCTGCAGTGAGTCCCGGGGCCCTTCTCCGTCCGGTTCAGGGGTGGAATGCGTTGACAGGAACTTCTCTCTCTGGAGGCAGGACCCATGTCCCCAGCTCAGGGCCTCGTCCCCTGGAGCCCTCTGAGAGCCAGACTCTGCTCTGGCTGGAGCTGAGCAACCTGGGCGGCAGACCGAGATCGTGGCAGGAATGGAGCAGGGCCTTGGGCCGCGCCCCTGGGCACCCCAAAGAGGGGCCTCCTCGGCTGTTTCAGGGAGGCCCGGGGCCTGCCTCCTGCATTCTGTCTGTGGGTCCAGTCAGTTCGGCTGGGACTGCAGAGGGCGAGGGGCTCTGGGACAGTGGCGTCCTTTCCGTGGGAGGGTGGTGTGGTCTGGGGCGAGGGCCGAGGGGTACCCTCGGTGACACCCCCAGGCCAGGCCGGCCACAGCTCCCGAAGGCTTCTGGGGGATGGCAGGACGACGCCAGGAACAAGGCCCGCTCAGGGAGGGGTGATGGGCAGCAGAGGGAGGGGTCGACCCACCTGGGCAGGGGGCAGGAACAGGGACAGGTGGCTGACCTGAAGGGGAGAACCTGGGAAGGGGACGGCGCAGTGGCCTTGCTAGGAGGGAAGGGGAGGCTGTTAGGACAAGGGGCCTTGCGAGACCTCAGCGTGTTCGGGGACTCCGTGCTAGGTCGCCGCGCTACTCCCAGGTCCTCAAACCCTGCTCGCCGCCGAGTGACCTGTGGCGTGGAGAGGGGTGGGAGGGCGGGGTCGTGCTCGTGGCTCTAACAAGACAAGGGTCCAGAGCGGCAGAAGTGACCAGCAAGAGGGGTGGAGTCGGGGACAGCAGGGTGATGGACACAGTGAGGGAGAGGCAGGCTAGACACTGGGCAGGCAGGCCCCGTGAGCCCACGGTGTCCTCAGACTGATGGTCACAGGGGCCACCCTGGCGGCAGTGACAAGACTAGGAGTGGCCCATCCCACTTTAGGAGCAGGTCCCTCCCGGGGGACCGCTGAGGGACCCCAGCCCAGCCCACCTGGCAGCAACCACCTTCTCACGGCCCAGGCGGGATGCTGCTGCCCCGCCTGAGCCACAGGCAGCCGGCAGCCCCGGCCCTCCCCGGGGTCAGGCCTCCCTTCCCGGGTCCTGGGGGCTGTGGGGCCTGGGCCTGGTGCTCAGGGCTCTGCTTCTCTTGCCTTCCAGGGAGAAGGAGCTGCCCGGCCTCAGCCCCCGAGAGGCCAAGGTACGAGCCTGTCCCGGGGCACGGGCAGGACACGGTGGGTGGGCATGGGGCCGGGGACGGCAGACCCAGTCCCCAAAGCTGTCCCCACGGCTCGGTCACCAAAGCCCCTGTCGCAGGAATCCGCACGTGGGCAGGACCGCGCCTGAGCCCCGGAGACGCCGTCAGCGGAGCGGCCCTGTGCCTCTCAGGCTCCTCGCAGTCTGCTCCCGCCACGGCCCGGCCCGCAGGGCGCCTGGACGCTGCCCATGGGCCGGTCTCCCGCTCCGCGCGGCTCATCCGCTGCCCCCTTCTCCTGTTCCAGCAACATCGCCAGGAGACCCGCAGGGCCGACAAGTGGGTGAAGATGCTTCACAACTGGGACCACTGCGGGCCCAGCGAGAAGGTGGGGGCCGCACGCCCGCAGACGGCATCTGTGCCATGGGGTGGGCGTAAATCCCCCTGCCTCCCCCGGACCCCAACCCCACGGGACTGCCCCTGTCTGGGGAGAGTCTGCTGGCAGAGCCCCAGCCTCCCCACGTCCAAGCGGGCAGCGGAGGAAGCGACGGGTCAGGGTCCGGTTCCCTCCTCCTCGTGGGAGACGGGGCCCAGCTCCGAGGAGACCCAGCCTCTCGGGGGACGCCACAGAGCCAAAGCCAAAAGCTTCCGGATGCCTCTTGCTCCCAGGCCTGGCGGGGCGGGCCTGGTTCTGGGTCCCAGCACGGCCTTCTCTCCTGCAGATGCGTCGGCGCCTCTATAAAGGGGTCCCTCCCCAGGTGAGGGGCCAGGTGTGGGCCCTCCTGCTCGATATTGAACACGTGAAGTCCACCCACCAGGGGCTGTACGAGGTAAGCCCTTGCGCCCTCAGCAGAGGCGTGGCCCTTGGAGGAGGCCTGGGCAGGAGCCGAGCGCACTCCACGGGGAGAGGCTAGTCAGGGCCCTGGCTGGAGCTCTGGCCTGGAGGACAGGGCTCCGTGCAGGGGAGGGGAAGACCCTCGGGCTGACCCTCGGGACTGTCCTCGGCCCCCAGGCCTGCCAGATCCCTGACGCGGGCATCCCAGGCACGATGGGCTCCTGTGGGGGGCCCTGCCTCAGAGACCAGGGAAGGAAGGAGGTGTCCGCAGGACACGGCCCAGGGCGGCTCGGGATTCTCCCTGCCTCGGGGGCAGTGGCTGGCCGTTGGGGCTCCGTGTGCTGATGCTGGTCCTCCTCCCCGGGTCTGCCCCCAGAAAATGAAGGAGCAGGCCCAGGTCTTCTCCAAGGACATCCGGCAAATCGACCTGGACGTGAACCGCACCTTCCGGAACCACATCATGTTCCGGGACCGCTATGGCGTTGGGTGAGGCTGGGGGACAAGCGGGGCTCTGGGGGCACGGGAGTTCCTCAGGGGGTCAGGCACGACCCAGGGGGCTTCTAGGTGGGGGACGCGGGGTCTCTGAGGAGAGGGGGAGGAATAGCAGCAAACATGGTCTCGGCCACATGGTGAACGTGGGTGGGAGGACCCAGGGGTCCCTACCTACCCACCGGGGCTGCCGCCATGGGGAGGGCACTTCACCAGGGCCTGGCTTGGCAGTTATGTGAGCAGAACCCAAAGGTTGGCATGGAGCTGGTACGAGGGGAGCCGGGCCAGAGGGTGGGGTCGTGGCAGGGGGCACTACGGGGAGCTGGGGGCCAGGCAGCACAGACTCGGCCGGGGGAGGACACACATGGAAGAACTAGGGGCACACGGTCAAGGGGACAGCCCGCTGGGTGTGTTTCTGCGTGGACTGGCATTGTATTTTCCACAGTGGACACAGTCTGTAAAGATAGGCAGCACCGTGAACCCCCAAATGCCACCCGGCCCCGCCCCGGGTCCCGTGCTCACCACGTGCATCCCCCACCCCACATGTCCAGCCCCGAGCCTCACTGAAGACCGCGGGTCCCCTGGGGCTGCACTCTGGTCCTCAGGGGGCTCCCATGTGGCTTGGTCAGACAAGAGCCACCCACCGTGCTCTCCCCGTCCCCAGGCAGCGAGCCCTCTTCCATGTGCTCCTGGCCTATTCGGTCTACAACCCCGTGAGTGTCCCTGCTGCCAGCCCTCCTACCCACGGGTGCCCTTTGTCTCCAGGATGCCTGAGCGGGCGGGACTCCTAGTTGGGACTCCAGTTCCCATGGCCCCAGAGACGCAAGGGTGGGGCCCTGAACCCAAGGACTGAGGCCGGGATGGATGCAGACCTCAGTGCGGGGGAGGGACGGCCCCTGAGTCCCAGAGGGCTGGGTGCCAGGGGGCTCTGGCCTGCACCGCTGTGGTGCTAACGCTCGGAGCTGGGTCCTGAAGAGCCCGTGGGAGGATCGGGACCCGGGCCGGGAGGGCGGTTCCCCTTGTCCTGACCTCCACCCAGCGAGGTGGCCCCATTCCATGGGTTCTGGCTCTTGCAGGAGGTGGGCTACTGTCAGGGGATGAGTGAAATGGTGGCAATCCTCGTCATGTTCCTCAGTGAGGAAGACGCCTTCTGGGCCCTGGTGCAGCTGATGACCATGGAGACCCATGCCATGCACGGTAGGGGCCCTGCAGGGCGCCTGGGTGGGACCTGGAACTCAGGACTCCTTCCCTGCAGGGCAGCCACTGCAGCGGGGCAGGCCAGGACCCCCAGCCAGCCCGCAACCCCACCGGCAAAGGCCACGGCCTCCTCAGGGCGTCTGTAGCCTTGGCCACTGGCCCCAGCATTTGCAGACCGTTCTCGCCTTCCCACGGGGCCTTCAGCCCCCTGTCTGGCAGCCGGCTTGCCCGCCGGGTCCCCCTGGCAGCCCACGGCCACACAAAGCCTGGGCGGTGGCATGTCCCGCTCCCTGGACCCTCAGCCCAGCACCCAAGCCCCGGCGTTGGGCCTGTACACCCCCTTCACTCTCACCGTGGGAGGCTCGTCCTGCCCCCCAGGGCAGGTGACCCGCTTGCCCCTGCTGCAACCACCGCAGGAAGTGTGCTGGGTCCGACAGGCCTGGTGCTCAGCCCGGCCACCCACTCAGCTGGGTCTCTGTGAGGAGGAGGGACCTCTGGCCCGGCCCCCAGGCCCGGACGGCTCTGCTGTTGTCACGGACGAACGGGCGCAGCCAGGGCTGGGAGGGCTGTGGGCACACGCTCCAGTCAGGGCCTGGGAGCGGAGCCCTTGGCAGACTCACCCCCCACCTGGTGGGGGACATGGCCCTGATGGTGGGGGTGCCTGGGGCCTTCTCAGGGTTCTTCGCTCCGGGATTCCCAAAGCTGGCCCGTTTCCAGTGGCATCACGACGACATCATGGAGAAGGAGCTCAAAGGCCTGAAGAAACACCTGGCGAGTAGACGCTCCCCGGAGGCCCTGCCCTCACGGCCCAGGGCAGGGGGAGGGGACCCGCAGAACCCTGCCCACGCTGCCCAGAGCCCGGTGTCCGGCTCCGTCTCCTGCCGGGCCCAGGGCGCCCTCGGGGCTGAGTGGGGCCGCTGGGAGTGTGTCCACCTGGCTGCACGCGTGGCGTGGGGCCACCGGCTGGACCCGAGCACCTTGTGTCCTTCTGCCAGGACGAGCAAGGGATGAGCGCGGGGCTGTACACCACCAAGTGGTTTCTCCAATGTTTCATCGGCCGGGTAAGGCCCCCAGGCAAAACTGGTCCCTGACCTGCTCCCGGCACCGGGCCCGGGGGAACCCCGAGCTCAGCCTGACGCTCCAGACAGGCGGGCCTGACCCCAAGGCCCTGAGCCTGAGGCTCGTAGTTCAGACCCGTCGTGCAGACTCCAACAGGGCCCCTTGAGGAGGTTCCGGGGACCGGCGCTGTCCGGCTCCGCCTCCCCAGGAAGGCCAGGTCAGCCTGGGAGCGGACAGGCCCTCGGCCCATTCTGCGGCCAGCCTGGAGTCCTGTCGGGGTGTGTGGGCACCGGGGATGGGGCAGAGTCTGTGGCCCCCCATTCTGGGTGTCGTACTGGCCAGTCCCTTCCCTCCCAAGGTCGTCTGGAGCCCATCTTCCCCAGGAGGTGGACACCCACGGGACGGGTTGCAGAGCCCCGTCCGGCACAGCCAGGGGGACGGCAGGGGCAGGGTAGAGGGGAGGCCTTCACACAGGCGGAGGACCCCTGGGCCCAACTGAGGCTGCTCCCCCCACACCCGCTCCCCTGCAGACCCCCTTCGCGCTCACCCTGAAGCTGTGGGACGCCTACATGCTGGACGGAGAGCGCGTCCTCACAGCTATGGCCTACACCGTCCTCAGGCTGCACCGCAGTAAGGGACCCCGTGGGCGCCCAGGGGTGTCTGATGCAGGTGTGGGGGGCCGGGGACATGGCCCACTGCTCCCAGGAGCAAGGAGCAGGCAGGCCTTGGTGGAGGGACACAGGCCGGCCGGTGGCTTGGGGGCCCCCCTGCAGAGGAGCAGCGGGCACGGGGCCTCTCCTGCGCGGCTCTGCCCAGGGTGCTCCTGGGAACAGCGGGACGCCCAACCGCTGTCCCCGGGCAGGATCCTGGGACGGTGGGGAGGCGCCCCTCTGCTCTGACTCACACCCATTGCCCAGAACGCCTCCTGAAGCTGCCCCTGGAAGGGCTGCAGGGCTTCCTTCAAGACACCCTGGCCCAGCCCTGGGCCCTGGAGGATGAGGCCGTCCTCAAACAGCTTCGGGCCTCCATGGCCCATCTGCGAAGGAGGAAGTGCGACCTGCCCCCGCCAGGTGGGCTCCAGTCCCCGTCCCCTCCCGCCTCGCCCTCCTGGGGCCGCCCCCAGTGGACCCAGTCCCCGGGGGCCTTCCTCTGTGTTTCTGTCCCTCTGCTCTTCTGCTCCAACCTCGGGGAACCCAGGCCCGGCCCGGGCATCGGGGTGACCCCTGTGGGGGCGGGGCATCCGTGGCCTGGATCAGGTGTGAGGGGCAGGCCAGGGTGGACACCCAGGGAGGCGGGAGCACACCCTGGGGGCCCAGCCGGCTGGGCACAAGCAGCCTGCTGGAGACGCTAACCCAGTCTGCCTCTTTGCAGCCGGCCCTGAGGAGTTCCCCAAGATGCCCCTGGGCCAGGAGCAGGTGTCCCCAGCCCCGACGGCCCTCCTCCCTTCTCCTACCCTGGAGACGCTCTCTGGAGCGGACGGGCTGGCCTCCCCAGGCCCAGCCGCACACGCTGAGCAGCCGGGACCCCTTCCCCGACAGGCCGTGATCAAGGCCCAGCAGTCGCTGCGGGAGGGAAGGTCGACGCGGCCCTTGGCTGTACCCCTGCGGCCGGGAGCCCCTGGGACCCCGGTTCTGTCGCGGCTGCCCCCACAGCGATGCAGTTCCCTCCCCAACCTCCCAGGACACCAGGGGGGTGTGTGCAGGGGGTCTGTGGACATGGCCTTGAGGCCACAACCGTGGGCCCCTTTTCCTTCAGCCCCTGCTGGGGCCACCCCTGTGGCCACACCCCACACCAAGCCCCAAAACATCTCTGGGTCTCCTGGGACGAGGTCGTCCCAGCCCAGGAAGGAGGATGCAGGAGGGCCAAGGACATCCTTCCTGCCCTGGGGCCTCTGTAGCTCCTGCCCCTTTGTGGCCTTCGACCAGCCCAGCCGAGACACGTGCGGGCCAATGCAGAGCCCACAGCCCCAGGGCCCTGCACATGCCTGGGCCCCACTTACCGCCTCCTGGATGGGAAAAGTTGATTTCCCAAGGCCTCTGGAGAAGAGTTTGGGGGCCGAGAGGCTCTGGGCAGTCAGCACAGTGCCCTGCCTCCTCACTCTGGACTTTTTAGAAGATGGCACCCCCGCCAGGAGGTACAAGTCACTGACCTAGAGGGACCTCCGCTGGCCTCACCCCAGGCCCGGAGGAGCAAAGACGACACAAGCTCCCCCCACCCCCCACAACGACCAGAAGGAGAACTGCTAGGTCCGAGGCCTCGTTCTGACCCAAGCTGGTAAAGTCAACAAAGAACTCTCTGTGTCTGCCTGGGGCCTGGGCAAGCCCCACGGGTGCACAACTACCCCTAGGGGCAGCGCTGGGGACCAAAGGTCACCCCAGCCTGGGCGCAGCAGGGTCGGGCTCGTGGGCTCCACCCTCCCCTCCCCCACAGGAGGAGGCAGGGGCCACCACAGCCCGGGTCTCCAGCGGTCACCTGGCAGCCATGGGGCAGTGGCCAAGGCCAGGCAGACGTGTCGGGACCCTGTCCAGGAAGCCCGACGCTGCACCCCAGCTCAGGTCCGCGTCCTCAGCTCTTGCCTCTCAAGACCCCAAGCTCGGGAAACGTGCCGACACCCGCCGTCAGCACAAGTGGAGGTGACAAGTGGGGGACGCTAGCGCCCAGGCCTCCGTGGGATTACCCCCTTCCCCTGAAGGAGAAGCAGGTCTCCATCCCCAGGGGAAGGCTGGCACCCTTGGTTCTGAGCCCCTGTTGACTGCTGACATTCAATAAAGTGTTGTCGTGGTCGAACGCCAAGCCGGCCTGTCCTCGGTGCCCAGACTCTCTGCGAGACGCGCCAGACAGACACCCAGACAGAAGAGGGTGGCTCGGCCCAGGCCGCCTCCCCAGTCCCCGCAGGGCTCCCCGCAGAGGGCCCTCCAGGCAGACAAGGCTGAGGGACCCGGGGCCCTTCCCATCTCGGCCAGACGCCAGCGTCCAGACTCTGAAATAAAGGACTGGGACCCAGCCTGTGCCCAAAGGGCCAGGATGGGGCTGGCAGCAGAGTGACAGCCGGGTGCAGGTGGCATCAGGTCACCACAGTCTGTGCCAAGCTCATCGTCCTCCCCTCTGCCACCCAGCTTCCCACACAAGGGGGCTGGGCCCTGCTCCTCCGCAGACCCAGGCCTGCGCCCACCAGGCAGTCCGGTCCTCAGGAGGTGCCCCCCACACACACACACAGGGAGGGCCCGGGGTCTGGCTCCCAGCTTGAACACCCCGTGTCTCACTCCCGTCTGACCTACGGACCTTGTCCCCACAAGCCCACGAAAGGAGCAGGGCCAACAAGGACCCACAGGGTTGTCTGGGGACCTAGGGACCAGGGCCTCAAGGTCGCTGTTCGGGTCTTCCTCAGGGCAGCTCTCTTCAGGGAGCTTCCCCTCTCCCTGGAGCTGGGAAAGCCGAGACCCTGGCCCCGGGCTTCTCTACCATTCCGTCTTCTGGGGACACTTACAGCGCTAGGGGCTGCTGGGTCCCGGGGGTCCCGGAGTGTCAGAGAGGGTCCTGGAGCTGGAGTCAGAGCCAGTGTGGCTGCCCTCTGTGGGAGGAGACGGGGCAGGGAGCCCTGATTGCTGGCAGGGGTAGGGCGGGGCGGGGCCTGCCCCTGGCTCCCAGTGTGGTTTGGAGCTGGCTCATCTGGCCCTTCTTGGTCAAGATCTCCATGTAGGGGACGCCACAGCAGTAGGTGAGGTCTTGTCCTGCCTGTAATTTTTTTTTTTTTTGATGGGGTCTTTGTACAGTTTGGGGATCAAGGTAATGCTGGCTTTGTAAAATGTTTGGAAGTTTTCCTTCCATTTCAATTTTTGGGAACACTTTCAGGAGAATAGGAATTCATTCTTCTTTTAATGTTTGGTAGAATTCCCCCGGGAGTCGTCTGGCCCTGGGCTCCTGTTGGTTTGGAGGTCTCAATCTCCTTACTGGTTATGGGTCTGCTCAGAGTTTCTGTTTCTTCCTGGCTCTGCTGTGGTACTTTCTACGTCTCTAGGAATGCATCCATTTCTTCCAGCTTGTCTAATTGGTGGCGTAGAGTTGCTCCCAATATGTTCTTAGAATTGTTTCTATTTCTTTGGTGTTGGTGGTGATCTCTCCTCTTTCATTCATGATTTTATTAATTTGGGTCCTTTCTCTCTTCTTTTGGGTAAGTCTGGCTGGGGTTTATCAATCTTAAGAATTCTCTCAAAGAACCAGCTCCTAGTTTTGTTGATTTGCTCTGTTGTTTTTTTTAGATTCTATTTCATGGATTTCTGCTCTGATCTTGATTATTTCTCTTCTCCTGCTGGGTTGAGGTTATCTTTTCTGTTCTTTCTCCAGCTCCTTTAGGTGTGGCGTTAGGTTGTGTTTTGGGGACCTTACCTGTTTCGGAGAAAGGCTTATATTGCTATACACTATCCCTTCAGGACCGCCTTTGCTGTGTCCCAGTGATTTTAAACACTTGTGGTTTCATTTTCATTTGTTTCCATGAAATTTTTAAATTCTTTACGTTCCCGGTTGACTCATTCATTCTTACTAAAGGATGGGCTAAAGCTATTTAAGTTCTATTATTTGAGTTCTTTCCAACATTCCTCTGGTGGTTGAGATCTAGCTTCAGAACATTACTGTCTAAAAATATGCAAGGGATGACCCCAGTCTCTTGGTACTGGTTGAGACCTGGTTGGTGATCCAGGATGTGATCTATTCTGGAGAATGTTCCATGTGCACTAGAGAAGAATGTGGATGCTGTTGCTTTGGGATGGAATGTTCTGAATAGATCTGTGATGTCCATCTGGTCCAGCCTGTCATTTGACGCCTTTATTTCTTTGTTAATCTTTGGCTGAGATGATCTATCCATTTCCCTGAGAGGGGTGTTAAAGTCCGCTACTATTATCGTTTATTGTCGATATGTTTCTTTGATTTTGTTATTGACTGATGTATAGGATTGGCTGCTCCCATGTTAGGGGCACAGATATTGAACATTGTGAGATCTTCCCGTTGGACAGACCCTTTGAGTATGATATAGTGTCCTTCCCTCATCTCTCATTAGAGTCTTTGGTTGAAAATCTCATTTATCTGACATAAGGATTGCCACCCCATCTTTCTTTGGATGTCTATTAGCATGGTAAATTGTTTCCTACCCCCTCACTCTAAATCCGCAGGTGTCTTGGGGTGGAAAATGAGTTTCTTGCAGACAGCCTGTTGATGGGTCTTGTTTTTTTAATCCGTTCTGAATCCCTGTGTCTTTAGATTGGGACATTGAGCCCATTTACATTCAGGGTAACTATTGAGAGATGAATTTTGTGCCATTGGATTTCCTGGATGCTGACTCTTACTGTATATTGTGTCTGCTCCTTTCTGGTCTGTTAGATTTCGGCTCCGTCTTTGCTCAGAGGACCCGTTTCAATATTTCCTGTAGGGCTGGTTTGGTGTTTGCAAATTCATTTAGTTTTTGTTTGTCCTGGAAGCTTGTTATCTCTCCTTGTCCCACAGCCCATTCCATGTTAACATGGGATGTATATTTACAAAATAACTCCATTTGCTTTTCAGAGGGAGTTTGAGAGTGGTGCCTGGGTGGCTAAGTGGGTTGAGCATCTGCCTTCAGCTCAGGTCTTGATGCGAGGGTTCCCTGCTCAGTGCAGGTCCTGCTTCTCCTCCTCCCTCTGCCGCAACTCCCGCTTGCTCTCTCTCTCTGTCAAAGAAATACAGAAAAGCTTTTTAAAAATGAAAGGGAATTTAATGAGAAGAATGTCTCATTTTGCATCTTTGCAAATGTCTTCACTGCTTGGTGTAACTGGAGAGACCTTGGCTCTCAACCTGGGTCTATATTTGGGGGAGAGGGCTGGGTGGGTGGGGGCAGCCCCGTACCCCATTTCCCTAGTTGTTGGGTTCCAAATAGAGATTGTCAACTGAGAACCGTGCGGCCCACCAGGGCGTGGATGTGGCCACCAATGGGGGGGTGCGGATCAGCGGGCCCCTCAGGCGCACCTGGACAAGTAGAGACCATGGGATCCCTTCCTGCCCTCTGTCCCTGAGCCGGGTGAAGAGGGCCCCAGTGCAGGCAGGCGAGACCAGGCATGGGGGTCTGACCTCGGGGGGAAGGGAAGGTATTAGTCATGTTCTGTAATTTCTATATTTCATGATGCTTTGCCATCTCGGGGCCTGCACACCTGGAGACGGTCTGTCCCTCCTGGGGTCATTCAGTTCCCAGAAGCAGAAAACAAGTAGCCTGCAACTCCCTGTGGCGATGCAAACCACCCACGTCTCTCATCTGCTTTCTTTCATGAAAGTCCTGTACTTTGGAACACTCTCCCACCTACCACGCTAGGGCTGGGTACCAGACAACTGGGGACCAGGGGTATAGCCCTGAGATCACTGAAATGATTCATCTCATAGGATAACTCCCCTATAACCATCAAGACATCGAGGTCATGGAAGCTATATGAACACTACGAAGCTTTCCCAGAATCGGACACAGAAGCCTTCCTATTGTGTGATCGTGTCTGTATGAAATGTCCCAAACAGGCAAATCGATAGAGACAGAAAGTAGATTCGTTGATGCTTGAGGCTGAGGGCAGGGAGAGACTGAGATCTGGGGTGACAGCTAAAGGGTCCAGGTTGCTCTCTGGGGTGACACTCGTGCCCCACTGATGGTGGCCTGGGTCACATAACTCTGGGACTGTACAAACACCCCTGAATTGGACCTTCCCGATGGGTGAATTATACGATATGGTAAATGCTATGTCAAGAAAGATGTCCCCGAAATATTCATCAAAGTCATTCAAGACGTGAATAGAATGAAAGACAAAAATCATAGGATCATCTCAACAGATGATAAAATTTGATAAAATTCAATCTCAGTGGATGATAACAGGCCTCAGCAAACTCGAAATCGAATGGACCTTTCTTCATCTGATACGAAAACCCACAGCCAGCATGCTTAATTGGAACCCTTTCTCCTCGGTGGGGCACCTGGGTGGCTCAGTGGGTTAAGCCTCTGCCTTAGGCTCAGGTCATGATCCCAGGGTCCTGGGATCGAGCCCCTCATCGGGCTCTCTGCTCTGCGGGGAGCCTGCTTCTTCCACCCACTTCCCGCCCCTCTGTCTACTTGTGATCTCTGTCTGTTAATTCAAAAAAAAATCTTTAAAAT